GGGTAGTGGGGGGGGGGGGGGTCCCCTGTCCCCGGGGGTAAATCGCGGCCGGGGCGTGACGACCACTCCTCCCCAACCAGTACCGAAATCAAGAACGAGTAGGAGCCACAACTTCTCTACTTTCCCAGTCGTCTTCACGGCGTGTTAGGGGCAGAGAAAAAAACTGCAGTCTTGGATATGTTTCTGCGTGTGGGAAGAAGGCTTGTTGCGTGCTTTATGACATTTTATAAGACCACAGAAATAACACACAATAAGTATAGCTGGTTTGTGCGTCACTGTATTCATATTTTAGGACTCCATGGGCTATAGATGAGCCCAACAGCACCTACTAAGGGCCAGGGGCAGTTTGACTGGTTCTGTCTACGAACAGAATCGATATTTTCGTAAATGTGTGACGCCACATTTACCTGGTTCTGAGAAACCCAAATATCGATCGATCATCACAAAGGTACAACGTATTATTTAAATTTCTAAACTGTGTCGTTATAATTTAACAAGATACTGATATACTCAAATACTTAACTAAGTACAGAGTTCCTGTGCTATTTACTTTCATACACGAAGTTCTGTTTCGCAATATTATTATTCTTTATCAGTTTTGCACTGGCAATTATCTATAAACCGAATCTAGGTCAAATTATCTGTGACCATTACCACAGAATATCAAAATGTATCTAAAAGAAACAAGACGTTAGGATGTACACTGGTTTCATTTGATGGAATATGGGCCAGTGATTGTTTCTGGTAAACGTGTTCCTGACTAGCTGAGCGATTAGCCTCTCAAAACGACAAACGGGGGGCTCTAATTTCTAAATTTCTACAAGGACAGAAATTTCTGTTCGTCCCAATATCCAGACCGGGTGTATATCTGACGCCACCATTTCTATGATTCCTTTCTAGGAAACTCTGCAGCAAAGAGTACAATAACAACAGAATTAACAATGATTTATGACCTTATACGTTCTTTAATTCCACTCGAGCACTGCTCAACACTAAATATGCCTCTCAATCCCAAGCATTCACTTAATTCAATGTATAGTACATTTCCAGATAAAATAACGTACATAAAAAAGCCGAGAATTGGCATCATTGCTCTGGAGTTGTACGAATTTAAAATACAACCGCGATAGCCATATTTAACGCACCTCGTAGTAACGTACAAGCCAAGAAGCAAAAATAATAATTCTGGCTCTAACAATCATGGCACAATCGTAAACTGGCGTGCATCTGTCCACCCACACGTCTGGCACGTGAAGACACGGGCCAGAGTCAAGATGCAGTCAACATACAAGACGAACACACACGTAACTGCCAACTATCACCAATACTACAAACACAATTCAAAAGATAGCCGTCTTCCGTGTTGCTGCACAGTGCAGTCTGATTTAAGTTTACTTCCATCATCAGGGCGACAAGTAAGCCGAGCGTCTTACTCATCACACTGGTTATCAATGTAGCAAGCACCTCTTAAACGTCGGCAAACTTCTGCCACACTGCACGGAAGTACAACCAAGAAGACAGTAATTTTCATGTAATTAACCAGTGCTACAAAACTTGTACGTTTCACCGAATGTTAGGGTAAACAAAGATAATAAAACGGGTGAGACATGATACACACATGGGAGAGATAATAAATGAATATAAAATTTTATTCGAAAAACCAAAAGGAAAGAGACCACTTAGGAGACGTGCGTGTACATGACATAATAAATACCGTAATGGATCTCAGGGAAATAATGTTTTAGGAAATGGATAGGGTGTGTTCTAATTGCGGCTTCAAGTACCTCGCAATGCCAACAGTATGAAGTAGAATTATTCAATTCGCCAAGAAGAATAACAATTTCTAACTACAAAGAGCAAAGTTCTTCATTAGAAGTCAATAGTCCCTCAGCCAATCAATAAATCCCCAGCCTTTATAAATCTCAATCAATTCCAAAATCTGTATTTAGTTACGTCTTTCATTTACTAAAACATTTTTAGACTGAAATGCGACAACGCGGCG